GATATTCATAGCATTTCGGCCAATGACATGGTGTAATTTACATCACGTGTATCTATTTGGATACCCCGTCTAGACCAGGACTTTAATACTTCAAGTGGGAAGGGCTTTGAACAATAGGGAAATTGAGGGGTAAACTAAAGATGATGCAAATATATTTAATTGCTATGTTTAGAATTATTTCTAAATACAGTAAGCTGTATTTAGAAATTTTTTCTAACTACACTTTACATCTAACACTTTTACTGAACGTTTGAAAACTACATAAATATACGAAAAGGAAAATTACGATTTTTTTAGTACCAACTATTATAATAAACAGCGCTTTAACACTACAGCAATAATACAACAACTTACCAGTAATGTTTACCGTCTAATATATATTCACTTCGGCTCTTCCATTTTCCACCTTATCGCACACACAATCGGATATATCGTTTTTTCGGATCTCCGTCCTTGTCAGCGATCGCGAGTGGCTTTCTTTACATTTTCAATACTGTGCTCAACACTTTCTGGTTCTCGAAACCGCTTTTTCTTATATTATAAGAAGATGCCATGCTCTTTTGCCAACAAAATTAATCTATTCATGACGAAAGCGAACTGAATGCTTCGTTACACTTCATGCAAACTTTCAAGAATGCAATCGTTAATGTCCCACGCTCACTTTTTTGAGTATCTAATAATTTCATGCCTCATTGCTTTGAATATCTAATGATGTGTGAGAAGGGAAGTTTAATACCTCGTTTCTATTTTCCACTGTTCTTACGCACTTTCGAGGAACTTTTGAAAAAGGCAAATTCAGGATCCAAGGAACTCTTTTTCCAGGTTTGAGCAGTTCTTGCTTGAAGTTAGGAATTTTCACGGCTAAATTTTGTACGCGTGGCGTCCGTATTCATCAAAACGTGGTACAACGGCGCAGAGTAAGTACATACCGAGGTATCACTTCATGTTAATTTAGCGTAAGGGATTTTTTCAGTTCGCCATGTTCTTAGCAAGTGCCCTGAAGAGAGGCCGCCACTAGCCTGGAAACATATTGGAATTTAATGTTCCAGGGGGTTGAATGCCTCTCTTTAGAGCACTTGCTAAGAACATGGCCGCCAGATAAGCGCAGTAAAAACTACCTTACGGTTTTCCCGCAGAAGTGAGACATCTGGATGTACTTACTCTGTGACAACGGTTTCGGTCCCCTATACGTTATTCACTGTGGTCCACATACGTCATCAATTTCAAACTAACGTATAATTTTGCCTTTCTGTTTTTTAATTTAAACATTTATATTTGCGACATTTTGTTTCCTCAAAACTCTTTACATAACGAAGGTAGTAACGTAAATAAATTAATAAAATTTTATCGGTTTATTTGGTGAAACAGTAAAGTTTGTACTACTATAGGGAGAGAATGAAAAGACGTAAATAGATATTATTTTAAAATTTCACCGATTGTGTAAACCATTCCCGATTTTCGTCTTAAGGTAACAAATTGTTGGTCACATCGTTGTAATAATACCGAGTTTGGAGTTCTGACACGCACAAGTGCGCATTAATATGACGCAATCTGTGTCAGAAAAAAAATTGCAGTTAAATCATAAAGTACGATGCGGGCTGGATAATAGAGAGTAGAGCCTTACGATTTTAGAACAGCAACGCGACGGCAACGGCTACCAATACAATAGATCATTGAAAAGAATTGAGTAATTACAATAAATGAATAATTTAGACATTGTCCTCGCTCTGTTTACAACGCCAAAACACAAATTTTCACGTGTTGATACAACGGCTGCATTCCAAGCCACAACAAGTGCAACTTCAAACTGGGTTTAGCAGAACTCTTCCCAACCGTAAAATCCATGTCTTCAACTTCTAAGACTGTATTAAATTCATACGATTGATAATATACGACGAACTATCGACTACCATTTATTTTAAGGAGTTTGTTTTGGCCGTCGCGGTTGCCGTCCTAAAATCGTAGGGTCTCTAATTTACGATCTACGACGTGGCTGGCTCGACGACGCGCTTTCGAAACAAAGAATTTTGTCATGCAAGACAAAAACTGTGAATAATTCGTGGTCCCAGAGGTATTCTCAACGGCTTTGTTGTTCTCAACACAACGTTAACTAAGCATTATCACGTCTTTCGATGTTTTACCACGCCCTGGCCGGCTACTTTCACCAAGGTTTACAATCTCGTTCCCCGCGAGCCTGCGATCCTCGGGAAGGAACGCGAGGCTCTGGGATAATCCGTTTCAGGGAGGAATCTGATTGGCCATTGAAATGGAATGCGTCGGTTCAATCTTAGCCAGGATTCTTGGCTTCCGGTAACGGATTATCCCAGAGCCTTCGATTCCCTCCCGAGGATCGCAGGCTCGGGGAACGAAAGATTGCAAGGTTTACGGATCTCCAAACTCAACCTCGTTACGAGGTTGCTCCAAACTCTGGGATCCAAAATATCTCTGCAAAATGAAGTAACTAACTTTGTGGAAAGTGGAAACATCAATTTCCTTCTGTTTCCATGCAGGGGGCGAACGTCGTTTGATTGAGTTTTTGTTTGTGTGTACAATTGCGAGACTTCACGGCAATTTTTTGCCAATTTTATGTTTCATCTGCTTTCTTAATGATGTAGAGATGTCTTAGATCATTTGTAGTGTTTAAAATATGGGCGACACTTTGTGGGAAGACCGCGATGTTCGCTTCGACATCACGTTACAGTAAGTTGTGTTTTGTACTGTTTTATAGTTTATACCATAGATATCTGGTTTAAACACTGTCAAGTTTGCAACTTTGTATACAAAGTAGAAGTTGTATTTAATAGTGATATTTGCGGGGATTTTGACATTTCACCAATGTTAAAAATCCGGCTCAAAAATACTGGGACAAATTGAACGTTGTTTCAATTTCCTCTGATTCTCACAGTAGAAATTAGAAAATAAAGGAATATTGAACAAGAAAAGATCGTCTGAAGTATAAATTAAGGGGACAACATGTCGACCTGTTCTCCCACTGCCCTATATGGCTACTATATGTTATGTACCAGTAATGTTTCAGATCTATAGCTTTGGCCCACAAAAAAATATTGAATCAAGTACATGCACTATAAAAAATGTATCTTACAATGAAAACGTAAACTTAAAGATACCCAGCTTTTTGTGGCAAGGCAACTTGCCCAATCCGGCAAGCAAGAAAACGTTTACTTGCCGTCATGATATTCACTTGCCCTGGGCAAGTGTTAAGTTACACCTCTGACCTGGTCGTTAAAACCCGGCACATGTGCCTTGGCTGCTTTCAAAACATGACGATTTCGGTCATAGTATTATTTATAATAGATATCTATGAGGCCGCTCAGATCGATATTTGATTTTGTCAACCCGATCACTGTCCAGACCTAACCAGCTATTTTCAGACTGGGATGAGTTCAGAGCGGGATGATTCACTAGGATGGATATAAGAAGATTTTTTCAGAAAAATTCTTAATTCCTATATTCATTATAAGAAGGTTTTAAGGGAATATAAGATTTTCGACATTCAAGCAAAAATTTAATGACGTCATGATATGATCTAAATATTACTAAATATTAATCTAAATATTACTAAATTAAGTAAATGTACTGATTTTACAATTTCCATTTCTTTTCCAAAGATATAGAAAAGAAAATAATATAATACAAGAAGATATACAAATTTCAAATATATAACAAGATATCCCCATGTCTCATGATTCGTGCTTGAATATGTTTTAATTAATCTCTTTGATCTTCAATAATATACTGGCAATATGCTATAAATATGTCAATATCAACATACCTGAGAACTTACAACCCATGCATTTCCATATTTCGGATTCTCTTCAAAAATTCTCTTCGAAAATTCAATTAAAAACATATATACTTTCTAACTGATCATTAAATTAATAAAAAAAGTGACTCCAGAACACAGGACATGCTGTTTCTCATGCTCTCCCGGACCCCTTTGTGTGCACTTAGTAAACTGCTCATCCAAAACACTGGATCCTCTCAGCGTTTTATATTTCTGTGCTATTGTACGTGTATACCCACAAATATCAGTTGCAGAACGGGAGGATCGGTCTCAGATCATCCGAATCCCCCCCCCCCCCAGCAATTTTTTGAATGTGTGCCTCTGTTTACAGTTTTAAAAATCTAAGAAACCTATTGCCACACTGTAAAAAATCCTGTGTACATGTAATTTGTCCCAAAAATTTGTGCTTTTAATACAGTGGCTCAAAATTCTGAGTAAAATTACTCAAGATTATGACTTATGAGCAAAGTTTCAAATTTAATTTATTTAATTTAATTTAATTGCTTTTCCATCATTGTGTGATATAGACATAAACACATACGCACCCACACAACACAAACGCAAACACAAACACAAATACAAACACACTAAACTGATGGCTGGGTAACCACAACAGCCTGAAAAGCCAATTACTGTGGGCCCAAAAGATTAAAACACAAACATATATACAATTAAAACGCCTAAAAACAGCAGTTCACTGGTTCGG